ATTTTTTTAAACAAATTCGTAAAAGGTCGGATTCGAATCATTGTCATGAAAGAAAGAAGAATGCACTTATATATGTCATGATGTGACTGAATCAAAGATCCAAGCGCGTAATTAAATTAATATTTTAAAATTTAATTGTTTACACCTAAAATAAACTAATAGGGTAAGGTCACGTGTCAAGGTAAAACTCAATTATCAAGAAAAAACCCAATTATCAAGAAAATCAATAGGCTGGATTTGGGCTGGGCTAACTTACAATTTAACGACCCAGACGGATTTCCAAGGAGGTTGGATTTTAGGTGGCAGAAGATAAGATTGGATCTGGTAGTTTGAGTTTGATTTAAAATGGGAAATTGAGGATTTTTAGGTAGTCATCTTTAAGGTTGTTGGAGATAAGGTTAAATAAAAATCAGATAACTATTAAATAACTGTCAGACCTGCAATCCTGTTACTAGATCATGGAGGAACAGTGCCAAAAATCGAGGAACAATACTGAAGATCATGGAGGAAGTTCCCAAGATCATGGAGGAAGTTCCCAAGACTGAAGAAAATAAAAACAGAGAGAAGAGAACAGTTCCAGGCCTGCCCAACAAACACACAGACTGCCCAGAGCATGTTTTTTAGCTTTCAGACTGCATTTTCCAGATTTCAGCAATAGTTTTCAGATTTTCCAAATTAGTTCATAGCTTTAGCCTAGGTTTGTTCATCTTTATTCATATTTTCTCCCGCAAATTTCAATTTAGATTAATTTTTAAGCATTTAGAAGCAACTTAGCCTTCAAAACAGGGCTGCCCTTTTGATTTGGTTAGTTCTTCTTCCTTTTATGGATTTAGTTATGTTATTCGTTCATGTAAATAGGATGAACGTTTTCTACCTTTGTTTTTTTGTTTCTACACAATATCTAGACATGCAGTTTGTTTAATTTCAAATTCCAGATTTAAATTTATAAGTTTTTAGACTTTAATCATTTCATAGTTTCCTTTTCAGTTTTAGTTATCATTATGGACTGCGTAGTTGAAATCATTGTCTGTTATTTTACGTTTTTTGTTGTCTGCGAATTTAATCTTTATGGCATGTTATTTTCTGTTATTTACTTCATGTTAGTTTAATTGCTTTAGGATATTGCATTTATTTTAGGATTTGTAGTTTTTATTACACTTGTTTGGTTGTGAAGTCCTTGGAGGTTTCCAAAGCAATTAGTAACCCATTTTGCAGAACTCTACCCTCTGTTTTGCAATATCGTCTGGGGTGCAATTCATTTCACAATTCATTTCACAGACATTTTTTCCAGTCATCCTATTAGAGGTCGACCGCTGAAAAGGAGAAGGGTAGTCTGGAAAATCCCATTTTCTTGTTTTTAGACAAAACAAGTGGCACGCCTAATCACTAAACTCACGTGGTAAAGGCAGGCTGAGGATTTTTGAGGAAACATTAATATATAGAGAATTATATGAATTTAAAACTTTTAAGTATGGATATAATCATTCTTGTCAAAGTATTGTCTGATTAGTTTTTTTATTGATGTGCCTTATCTCTTTTTTTTTTTTTGAAAAT